AAAATAAGACAGCAGAACTATGGTGGCTTAGCATGGGCAGATCTGCCAGGATTTTATGGTTGCCCCCAGGTCTGGTGGAGCTGCTGAACCGGGTACAAAGCAGTGGGGCCCATGACCAGAGGGGCCTTCTACGAAAAGAGGACCTAGTACTTCCAGAATTTCTGCAGCTGCCTGCCCAAGGGCCCAGCTCTCAGGAGGCTCCACCACAGACTGAATCAGCAGCCCAGCCCATAGGGGGAGCCTTGAATTCCACTGCCCACCCAGCCCTCTGACCGCTGCCCTATAGTTCAGGCTGGCTGCATGGCACATGGCGGGCCAAGCATGCCATGGGTCCGCTCTGCATGCCCTGTCTATGCCATGAGTTTCCCTGGTCCTTCCTGCTATGGGCAGGCCTGCAGGAAGAGCCAGGAGGAGTTAAAACAGGACTCAGGAGCCACACTCTACAGCTGCCACCACCTGGTCTCTCACAGGCTCACCCACCCATCCCTTACAGCCAGGCCCCTGGGAGAAGATAAGCCTAACCCTTGGTGCAGGCTTGCCCAACATGGAGGGGTGGCGTTGGCAGTGCCAGCCTCCCTACCCTGTGCCAAGTTTCAACAGGGGGCAGGAGGAGGGGCTGGCCCCTCCTTAAGGAGCCATTGAGTAAGGCCTGGGAGTGCAGGTGGGGACCCCTGTCCTCTATCCACATAGACTCTACTGTACATATGGATTTTGCAGTTGGCTTGGGGCAGCTGGGTTTGTCCTGAATGTATGATACTGTTATTATAATAACTATTATTATTCTGCCATGAGTTGTGTTCCTTGTCTGCTATGAAGTGTGTTCCATGTTCTGCCATGTTCCAGTCTTCCCTGCGGCCTCCCCGCGCCCCCCCCCCCAACTACTGCCTCTGTCACCAAGATCAGTTCCAGGAAGCTCTTAGGGACCTCAGGATGTACCTCCTGACTTCCTGTTTTCAGAACCTCTCTTCCCAACTGCACAGAATGTGGGAGGTGGGTAGGAGTGAGAGGGAGGGAGGGAGAGGTGTGTGTGTATGTGTGTAGTGGGGGAAGAACCCTGGGGAGCTGTGCCTCTGCTATCATTGGGCTATTCCACTGTCTCTGTGGATCTGAGTACATCTGTCTGGTTGCTGTTGTCTGTTTCTATCTAGGACTATGTCTCTGCAAACATAACTGGATAGAAGAGGGTCCTTTCAGTACACTGAAGGCCTATGTGGAGGGAAAATGGTTGTGATGGGGACATGTTCTCCCCCTTGCCTACTTTGGTCGTGTGGTCTTCCTTGTATCCAGGCAGCCAGGGAAGCCCAGACCCCACAAGAAGGAGGACCTCCCAGAAGGAGGCTTCAGCCTGTGGGAAGAGAAGCCAGATTCAGTCTCAGCTGACAAAGGAAGCAAGGGGTACAAGAGTAGCCACCTGAGGGGTGAGGAGTTCTTCTGGCTGCCTCAAGCAGTTCTCATTATCTTCCCCATTCCAGTCTTTTGCTTGCTTTCCCATCTGCAGGGAACTTTCCCTGCCCTCCTCCTTTTCATTTAACTGGCTGCTTCTCATCCTTGAAATCTGTGGGAGAAACCATTGGGGTTTGCAAGCCCACCCTGGCATCTTAGAGGGGATTCAGACCTCTGCCTGCAACTTCCACTTCATCTGGCCAGAGTAACCTGGCTCCTGGTAGGCCTGGTCAATCAGAGCACTCCATTTCCCTGGTTAATCAGAGTACTTCATTCTCCTGGTTAGGTTCAGAAATGATTCTCAGACACCACTTCCAACGAGAATCCCAATCCTGGTTATTTTCTACTGTCTGCTGTGTATCTGTAGAAAGGATCTGTAGGAAGAGATCCTGCACTTGAATGCAGCCAGCACATGGGAGCAAGACAGAGATGGAGATTCCTGACAAAATTCAGCCATATCTGCAATCAACCAGTCCTAGACTTTTTCCTACAATCCAATAAGTTCTGTACAGGATTTCTAAGACCTGTAGCCACAAACTGCTGCTTCATTGAAGAGCTCACCTTAATTAAACACCTACATGATCAGAGAAGGGCTCCCCAACTTGTTCTCTGTCATTCGAGGCAGTTTTCTTCCTTCTTGGCACTTTCTATACTCTGCAATTACTTTGTTTACTTATTTATACTCAATCCATGATAGTAAAAACCTTGTCCATCTTATTCAATGCTCTAGCTCCTTTGCCTAGTGAGCTGACAAATGATGCTACCATCTCAAACTCAGGAAAGTATGCAGAGACAGCAGGGCATTGGGGGACCTGACAGGGTACTGCATAAGGATCAATGTCACAGTGTAGGGCCAGGGACGGGGGTAGAAAGATAGACCCATATCCCTTCCCTGACTAGTCACAGAACTTCCTTCAAACCTCTTTGGACCTGGAGATTCCTGACAAAATTCAGCCATATCTGCAATCAACCACTCCTAGTGGGAGGAGACCACTTCCTTGTCCCCCAGGATACACGGATAGGGGTGCCAGATGAGAGATGGCCTATCTTCACAAAGTTGGCAGATCTTGCAGGCCAAGCCCACACTTCACCCAATCCTGCACCTCTGCAGACCCAGCAGTGATGCCACTTACTCTTAGGGACCAGCAGAATTGCCCCTGAGAAAGGGGTCATGGGTTAGGTGGAAAAGCGCCTATGAAGATCAGCCCCTGCAGGGGGAGTAGTTCACACTTTCTGAGGCCCCCAAGTTAGACATACTCCACCCTTTATGTCATTTTTGCCTTCACAACAAAACAACTTGGTAGACAAACTTGACAAACTTGTCACAACAAGACAAACTTGAGCTGCAGGAGGGGAAGTGACTAGCCCAGAATCATGCAAGGAATTTTTACTGGAGTGTTAGCACCACTCAGGCTGCCTAGTGTGAGGACATACCGTAAGGAGAGCCTGGATGCTGTAGAAATCCCTGATGGGGCGCTGGGGGAAAGTACTTTGAAATGACTACTTTGAGGGGCAATTTGGGAGTTTCTGCTAAAAATTAAAAATAGCGTGTGATACCAGCAATGCCACTAGAAAATCACTTACTTCCAGGCAAGAGGAGGCCCATCCCTGCAGGGTTATCTGGTACCCCAAAATGCAAACCCACCAAATGTGGCTGGGGATGGAGATGATAAAACATGCTGAGGTGTGTCCATGCCCTATAATATCATACAATAGATAAGGAATGGAGTACAGCATGTCCTAATTCTCTAAGATGTGTTATCATTCTGTGAAATAAAGCAGGGTGATACATATGGCATGATACCTTTAGATAAACCACAAACACACAGTCACTTAAAAGCATACAGAAAGGAGACAGAATGTTCTAGAAGGATACATGCCAAACATATGGGGAGACAGGAGGGGACCAGGATAGGGAGTAGTGGTCAAAGAAGGTTTTCACCTTAGCTGTATTTTTTTTAAGGATGTATTTAAAATAATTATAAAAAGCAAAAAATGAAATAAATAATTACAATAATACAAACACACATGTACTCACTAATAATTGGGACCTAAATCACAAAAAGAAGTATAGGACATTAGAAACTAAGAAGGGAGAAGTGGCTCGGCGCCTATAGCTCAACCGGCTAAGGCGCCAGCCACGTACACCTAAGGTGGCGGGTTCGAATCCCCAGCCCGGACCCGCCAAACAACAATGACGGCTGCAACCAAAAAATAGCCAGGCGTTGTGGCGGGCGCCTGTGGTCCCAGCTACTTGGGAGGCAGAGGCAGGAGACTCGCTTGAGCCCAGGAGTTGGAGGTTGCTGTGAGCTGTAATGCCACGGCACTCTGCCCAGGGGGACAGCTTGAGGCTCTGTCTCAAAAAAAAAAAAAAAAAAGAAGGGAGAAGTTTAGGAAGGGAATAAAGGGGAAAAAACTTACCTACTGGGTACAAGGAGCACTATTCTGGTAAGAGGCACTTTAAAAGCCCCCATTTAAGCATTATACAAGGTATCCATGTAACAAAAACATTTGTACTCTCTTAATATTTTGAAACAAAAACAATGAAATAAAATTATTATAATAATACAAAGAACTCCTCAAAAACCCTTCTTGGTCCCTGCTGGCCCACCATCCCTTGTTAGATCCCAATCCTTCCTTTGGGAGCTTGAGCCCATGACCCGCATCAAACTATTTTGGTTGGCTGGCTGTGCCTCTCTGCCTTAATCCTCTCTGGGACTCCCACTCCAGCACATCCCCTGAAGCAGCCCCAGGCTCCCTCCTCCCAGTTTTACTGTTCCCAGAATCCTTCATCATCCCAGCCTAGCCAGGCCCCATCTGCAGGGAGAGAGGCTCAGGCTCACAGCCTCCCCCCCAGACCTGGAGAAGGAGAAAGGGACACCAGCTGGTCAGCCCGTGAGTTTAACAGCCACTGCCAGGAGCTGATGCCTAGGTGGTTAGTGTGGTAGAGCTGCTCCCTCTCTATAAGATAGGAAGCCAGGACAGGGGCTGGCTCTGTCTGCCCAGCATAGAGCATGAACAAAGGGAGAGAACATAGTTATTTGTTGATTGTTCTGAGTCCTCCCAGCACATTTTACAGAGGACACAGGCTCTGAGAGAATCTTTCTGCCTGTCTCTTGTGCTCCGTACCCTTGCCAACTGTTTTGGGGTTGAGGAGGGGCATGGTACAAGCTGGGCTCTGGATGAGCACAGAGCACACAGTGACCTCAGTTCTTGGCCAGGGTGGGGGTAGGTGGAGGTGCTGGCTGCTCACTTATAGCCCCTGCTAGAAGTGCTGATGCAGCAGTGGGTCAGTGCACCCTGGGGAAGCAACCCCTACCCCTAGATGAACACAAGGTGTGCCCTGTGGGGGGTCCGGCCTGATAGTCAGGTGATCTGGGCTTCTGAGGGGGAATAGAAGCTGGATTTCAGCTTCCACAGGGAAACAAAAGCCCAGATAGGGAGGAACACACATAGTTGGTTACATTGAGCCTGATGACTCAGGCTAGGCATAGGACTACAGGCTGCACAACTCCAGGGAGCACCATTCCTATCCTCTATGGTTCTAGAGGGGCCCAGGAAGAGCTTCGAGCATGAATGCATCTATGTGACTGTGAAAATTGTACCTGTCTCCAGAGATCTGGATTGGGGCTAGATCAGAGACAGAAAGCAAAGTGAGGATTGCCATGGAACCAGCATTCCACCTTCAGGCCAGCCTAGGATGCTGGCTATCAGAAGAAGTTCTGCACAGCTAATATACATGGGTGGGAATTACTCCACTAGCCAGGGAGGACATCATGTTCCTGCCCCACTGCCAAGAGACTGAAAGAACCTGGAACCCAGACCATAACCTGGAGCCTGGAGTATGGAACTAGAGCTTGGAGCCTGAAGCCCAAAACCTGGAACTGGAGTCAGGAGTCCTGAAACCAAAACTTGGAGCCAAAAGCCTAAGGCTCAGAATCTGGAGTTAGGAATCTAGAATTCGAGACTGGAGCCCAGAACCAGAAACTTGGGGTCCAGTGCTTAGAACCAGAGACCCAAGCTTGACATCCAAAGCCTATAACTAGAGCCAGGATACTAGAAGTCCGAGGCTAGAGTCCAGAACTCAGAGCTTAAACCTGAGTTTAGAGTGCAGGGCCTGGAGCTCCCAGCTGCAGGCAGAAGTAAAGTACGGATCCCAGAACCTGGAAATAAGCTCCAGGCCCTGAACATAGGGCATAGGACCTCTCAGGCCTGGTCTTTGAGACCAGCATGATGGAAGGAGGCCACATAGGCTGGAGCCACACGAGGAATGGAGCTGGGGGAAAGAGATGATTTCTGAGAAAAGCCCAAAGCAGCCTTAGCATTTTTGGCCACAGACTTTGGC